TTCCTAGCACCCACCCAAGTATCATCCACCCCTAGGTACTTACCCGCCCCCCCATGGAATTCTGTCCTGCCCTGAAGCCTGTGCTTGGCTCTCCCCGACCCCGGCTTCAAGTTGTCTCCCCAGAGCCCATTGCCTGCCTCCCCAAGCATCGTGGGGGCCCCTCGTCCTAGTGCCAGGGTGGGCTCCCTTACCGCAGCGCTGTCACCCGATGCCACTCGCCGTCATTGATGGGGTCCTCAGAGACCAGGCGGGCCTCCCCACTGCCCAGCTGGTAGCTGTGGTCACACAGGCCCAGGAAGGTGTGAGGTGGGGCAGGACAGGAGGGAGGGTGGGAGAGGTGTCACTGGGGCACTGGGAGCTGCAGCTTCTTGTGGGAGGAGCCATGGGGTTGACCAGGGGGGAAGCCACTGAGGGGAGGAAAGGGGCCAGGGAAGGGAGAGGACCCACCTGAAGACAAGGTGCCCATCCTGAAGCCCGAGACTGATGAAGTCCTTCCCTTGGCCTGCCTCTCCCACCTCCTGCCAGGGAAGCACAGGGTCTCTGGGATCCCCAGCCTGGAAAGCTGAGGCCCCTGATGGTTGTGGCCTCACCTTTTTCTTTCCCACTGCCCTGGTCATCAGAGGGCTGGGAACACTAAGATCCCAGCTGGACGCCCACACTCACCATGCCCTGCCAGAGCAGGAGGCCACTGGCTGTGCTGGTCCGAACTTCCAGCTGGATGGTCTCAGGCACCCTGGGCAGGCTGGGGTGGGGGGTGGGGGGGGGAGCAGGTGAGTCCCAGATTCCCATTCCCCTCCCTGCAACCTGTCATCTCCCGGGGCTCACAGGCTCTCCCAACACCCATCTCACCTCCTGGAGAAGACGTAGCTGGGGAGGGCTAGGAAGCCACCATCGTCGAAATAGGCTCCGTACTGTCCTGGAGCATCTGCAGGAGAAAAGGGGAATGTAAGGCAGGTGCTCACCTGCTCAGAGTATCCATCTGGCATTGGTTCCCCTGGCCCCACCTCCACCCCGACATGTACGACCAGAGGGCTCTGAACCTGCGGTCCCTGCGTCTCAAGGGGCTGTGGACAGAATTCAGGCGCCTGTGAACTTGGATGGGAAAACATTATGGCTCTATGTTCACTCTCATCTCACTGAAATTTAGCAGTTTCTTTAATTATGCATGTAGGCAACAAACTAAAGGAGTAGCAGCAGGACCTGTGACTTTCTCACTGATAGATTTCCTTTACGGATTACAGTAGCTGCAGATATCTCAAAACATTGCTTACACTTACTGAAGTTCTGTTAGCTGTTAGGACCAGCACTAGATCTTGTTGTTTAATGTGTCAATAAAGAAGCACATAGGATACAATTGAGAACATTTAAAACACTTTGATAATCTTATTTCAGTATGATTGGTTTCCTATGCTTTTTTTTAAGCAGTCAGTAGGTCCAGGTAGGGTGAGCAACCATCCCCACTTGCTAAGTCCCTGCCCTGGTTTTAGCTTTGAAAGTCCTGCATCCCAAGGAACCCTTCAGCCCTGAGGAAACTGGGACAGTTGGTCACCTAAGTCCATGGCACCTGAAAGGTTCATAACCTTTGTGTTCCTTCCATCTTCCACATGGGAAGACAGGCTCTGGGGTGAGTAACTTGCCCAGGAAGCAGAAAGTCTGGATGGCAACCTGGACCTTCTGGCTTTAGCGTCCGTACTGTGTGCGGCTCCAACATCCCCAGCCCTACCTGCTCAGACCTATCCCACAGGCCAGCAGCTACAAGGGTTGGGGACACTTTGCCTCTACCAAATGATGAGAGCAGATAACATTTACCACGTACCTACTATATGCCAATCACTGTGCAGGGAGTTCACATCCAGCTATAAACATAATTTCATTTAACTGGATCCTTATAATAATCCTATGACTTACATGTGATATTAACAAAAGCTAACATACACCCACTCTGAACCAGACACTGTTCCAAGCACTTTAAATACATTAAATAATTTTACTCTCACGCAAAATTTTATCCAAAGCCTTGTGGAAGGATGTTACTTCTCTCCATTGTATACATGGGGAAACTGAGGCACAGAGAGGTTAAATGACTCACTCACAGTTACACAGCTACTAATGGCAGGGCTGCCTTCAGAGGCTATGCTCTTACCCATCACACTACTACCTCTCCTATTACATGAGTGATGACTACGAAGATAACACCTATAAAGCAGTTAGCACAGTGCCTGTGAATGTTCAATAAACATTAATTTTTAAGCATTACTACTGCTTTTAAACAGATTGCGGAATCCTTGAGAACAAGGGTCCTCCCTTATTCATCTTATATTTACTGCCCCCAGGACAAGGATGGGCAATAGATGTTTGTTGACAGAATGCATGAATGTAGAGGAAGAAACAGGTCAGAGTGGTAGAAGGGCCTGCCCAAGGTCTCCTAGCGGGTAGTAGACAGTAGGACCCAGCTCTGTGTGGCTTGGCTCTTCTTTATTCTGTCTATTTGTGCCCAGTGAGCCTCTCACATGGACCTGTTCTGCCAGAATTAAAGGTGTGGGGGTAATGGGACAAGGGGGCTGAGAGACTTGAAGCCAGGGAGGGGAAAAGCCCTCTCAGCTTCTCTGGCTGGCCCAGCAAATACGTACCATTGCCCCCACTGCCTTCAAGATGCCACTCGGACTCCGTTGTGCCATGTCCAGGGCCTATGGAGAAAGGCAGGGTCCAGCCAGTGGGCACAGACACCCGTGGGTACTCTGTCCAGCCCCAGGGCTCCAAAAAAGAGATGGGAGAAAAGCCAGGGCAGTTACCTTGTTCGCAGCGTGGGCCAGAGAAGCCGGGGGGACAGAGGCAGCGGGTGCCCTGGCAGGTGCCCCCATGCAGACAGGGCTCACGGAGCTGGCAGGGGTTCTCCTCATGCTCGCAGAGGTCTCCTGTAGGCCATGGCGGAGGTGAGTGGGCATGGCCTGCAGTTGCTGATGACCACCCTGCACCCCTCCCCCTCCCCTGGGCCTGGGCAGGCTCACACACCTTTGAAGCCGTCTCGACATAGGCACTGAAACTCATACTCGCCAGCAGGAAAGCACGTGGCGCCGTTCTGGCAAGGCTGGCGCTCACACGGGGAGCTGTCGTAGCACTGTCCGACGCCCCGACTGCCCAGGAAGCTGTAGGTGAGGTCTAGCCGCTTTCCATTCACTGACACCTGTGGGCATAGGGACACTGAGGCACTCAAGCCACACAGGAGGCAGAGGCATCGGTGTACCAGCAGACAGAATGCAGGGGAGGTAGCTGGGAACCCAAGCTGGAGCTGGAGCGGTCACGGGACTGTAGGGTAGGGAAGGGATGAGCAGGAGCATCTACTGTGCACCACCAACGTCCATCAGTACAGTCAATCGTCAGCGCAACCCTTCAAATTAGGAGCAATTACCCCCATCTTACAGAGGAGAAAACTGAGGCTCAGAGGTGAAGTTTCTGGTCCCAGGGGCCTTCAGCTACCTGCAGGTGGAGGGGCCTGGTTTTCACCCTCCCCTCCCCATTAGTTCTCTGGAAGCTGCTCACCTCGCCAATGCAGCCATGGAAGGGAGTGCTCATGTTGGTGGCTGGGGACAGCTGCACAGAGGGCTCCACGCCACCGAGGTAGAGGAGGGTGTGCAGGTTGAGGCCTTGGCTCTTGCCTGGTGAGGAGCGCAGCACAGGGCGCCCGCTGTTCACCAGAAGACGGCCGTCCTTGTTGAGGCGCTCGGCAGACACACGGTGCCAGCGGCCCAGGGCCAGTGGCTCTGTGCTCCGCAGAACAGCCAGCCCTAGAGAGGATGCAGGGGAGGGTTGACACAAGGATGACCCCTGCCCTGCCCCACCCCACACAGGGACTTGAGTAAATAGGGAACTTTCAGCCTCCTGGTGTTCCACGAGGAACCTGAGAGGTCTAGGGACGTGACTAAAGTCACACACAGAGAGGACAAACATGAAGGAACAGGGACTTCAACTGGCTGACTTCTGAACTTATGCCTCTGAGCCTCAGGGCACAGGCAGCCGGGGGGGCACAGAGCTTGGCACCAAGAGCCCATCTGCACTTGGTGTCTGGTACTCACCTGACCCTAACTCGTAGCGGAACTCCAGGTGACCACCAACCATTGCCAGGGACACAAAGTCTTCCACAGGCTCGCGTTTCCCTCCGCTGAACAGCAGGATTCCGTTGGGTGCCAGTGGCTTGAACTCAATGTCCAGGCGTAGCTCATGGTGTGTGTTGGTGAGGGCAGGAAGCACCAGATAGGAGCCAGTGCCAGACATGGATGGGGTGGTCACGGTCACACCTGCAGCAGCCACAGCTCAGCCAGGGGCAGTGGGGATACCAGAGTCCCGGTAGGGGTCCCATTAGCCTCACCCTGCCCACCTCACTCCCTAGTCCCAGAGGCAACCTCTGTAGCTGCACAGAAACACCTGGCCCACCTGGCACTGCAGACCAGGCTGGGAGTATCTCCAATAAGATGGACAACCCTTCTGGGGGCTCTCATGCAAGGGATTCAAGCTGGGCAGAAGCTTGGCCAGGTGACTTTGAGGCCCTCTGGCTCTGGTATAATTTTACCATCCTAGGGTCCAGCATGGCCTCAGAGGGCCCCTGCCTAACTTCTCCCATTCTTACTGGGATCCCTGGGGGGGTCTCAGGCTGGGCTCCACTCACCTTCCTCACACCTGGGCCCGGAGCGGCCCAGGTGGCAGCGGCAGGTGTAGCCTCGACCATCAGGCCGGTTCACACAGGTAGCGTCGGGCCCACAGGCCTCTGGGGGACATACAGGCCATGAAGAGGACATTGAGGTGACCCAAGGGAAGGTGTGGTCTTGATGCCAAAGGCCTACCTATTGCACCCCAGGGTCCTTGGCTATCTAGGGCTTGGCCAGACTGAGGAGGGGGAATGGATTAGGCAAGGGTGGGGCCAGAGGAGGCTGGGCAGGGGGACCGCACGGGGGGAAGGGAATGGGTGACTCTGTGTGTCCATGGTGTTCTTGAAAGGCTGGACCTGGACAATAGTATGAGGGTGATGAGTGCCTGGGTAGCAGGTAATGGGGTGAGTGCCTTGGTAATAGATGGGAAGATGGTAGATACCTGGATTGCAGTGATTGGGGTGTATGAGTACCGGGGAATCAGTAATGGGGGGCAAGTACTTGGGTAGCAGAGATGGGAGGCAGAGTGAGTATTAGGGTGGCAGTGATGAAAGTCAGCATCTAGGAGGAGGGGTGAGTACTAGGGTAGGAGTGACAGCATGTGGTAAGTACAGTTAGCAGTTGGGGTATAGGCAGATATGAAGGGGCACAGGCAAGTACCCAGGGGTGACAGTGATCAGGAGGGGTGGGCACGCACCTGGGTGGCAATGCAGGGCCTGGGAGTGCTCACAGCGGCTCCCAGTGAAGCCAGCCGGGCAGATGCACACGTAGCTGCTGCTCTCCGAGTCCTGGCACCAGCCCCCATTCTGTAAGGCAGCCCCCAGAAGTCAGGCCGAGAACACTCTGGCCCTCCCCCATTACCCACAGGGCCCTGCTACAGCTGAGGGCAGTGGCCAGGGGCAGCCAGGTGGCATGTGAAGTGTGGGGTTACCTGGCAAGGCTGCTCCCGACAGGTGGGGCAGTGGGAGATGCCATGTGCTGTGAGGTTGAGGTCGTGGAAGACAATCTCTTCACCCTGGATTCGTAGCTCCCGGACACAGCCTGGAGGGGTGGGCAGGTGGATAAGCAAATATGGGGGTGCTGGGAGGCTGGCCCAGCCCCAACCATACTCTGCAGGCTCCCATGGGCTCTGCCTGCCAGCCAGAATAAGGCCTGGCCAGGGCTGGAGATGGGGAGGGGGCTCACCTATGAAGCCGCTGCTCAGCCCCGCTTTGGGGATGGCACCATAGTCAGGGTAGCCTCCCAGGTAGAGCTCCTCATTCAGGTCCAGGCCCTGGAACTTGCCCTGGGGAGTAGAAAGGTCAGGAATGGCAGACAAGCTGAGTGGAGGTAGGGCGGGGGCTCAGAATAGGGGAATGGGTTGGATCTCACCTGGGAAGTCCCGTTGACTGGGGCCAGACTGCCCACAATCAGGGAGCCCTGGGTGAGGCTGCGCAGCAGGGTCACGGTGTGGAACTGGCCCAGCGCCAGTGGTGTGGGGTGGCGGATGGTGGCCATGCCTGAGCCTGCGTCAAACCTGCTCCAAGGGGCAGGGCCAGGGCAGGAGAAAATGGATGTCTGGTTTGTAAGAAGGGCTGGGCAGGGGGTCCAGCCTGGGCAAATTGACATCACCATTCCCTGCAGTCCTGTCCCTGCCTTGTCCTCCCACCCCATTACCCACCCCCAGCTTGCCCCATCACTGCACCTTCCCTAGCTCTTCTCTTTTCCCCACACCCCTTCCCTGGGAGCTTATCCAGAGCAGCCCCCGGGTTTCTAATTGCCTCTGGTTCCAGGGCCTTGCAGCCTGGCACCTGGCCTCACTGTTCCTCTGAGATCAACCTTGTTTCTTCCCTTCTTTATGGCTGGTCTTCCCCAACTAGAATATACATTCCCACAAAGGCCAGAACTTGATCTGCTTTGTTTATCCTTGTATCAGTGCCTGGCACATACATAGCAGGTGTTCAGCAAATAACTGTTAAATGAATGAATGAATGAATCCTGGACTGCAGCAGTCCCACCACCTAAGGACACACTTAGCATCACTGAAATTCTTCTGTGCTAGTCTCAGGCTGCTTCCTCCTCCACCTGGCTGGCATACTGTGCCTATTCCAGCAGACCCGGTGGTTACCGAGGGTAACGGCCACATCCCCTGCCTCCAGAACCTCCATGTACAACTCAGCCCAGAGTGGTGTATGTCTGACCAAAGCCCTGCAGTCTAGTCCCCCAGCTCCCTCCCCTGTAAATGGAGAGGGTGAGGTTCTCACCGGAACTCGGGCCTTCCACCCACGAGGCCAAAGGAGATGAAGTCGGGCAGCCTGTTGGCCAGATTGGTGCGGCTGCCTGGGATCCGCTTCTGTCCGTTGTACAGCAGCATCCCTGGGCGGGCACAGCTGTGTAAGGGCCTCCCCGCCAGCTGCGGGCTCCCTGTCTGCCCAGCCCAAGAATGAACCACCCAAGCTGGTGAGCCCTCCACTCTAGCAGCGGTCCCTCCCTCTGGCACACCCCACACAGCCAGAGCCTTCCCACTACCTCAGGATGGTGCCCTAAATAGAAGGCCTTGCTCACAGCTCCTAGAGAGACACTGATGTGGCTTCACTCACACTGTAGGGTCTACCTGAGCGAGGTGATGGAGGCAGACACTCACCCGAGTAGAGGAGGAGGCCTGGACAGTGCAAGTCAGAGCCCCGCAAGAGGTGGGAGGAGACAGATGAGAGAGAGAGAGAGGAAAGGGTGAGAGGTGGAAGGAGGGAAGACAGAGTGGAGGTAAGAATAGGAAGATGGGACAGGAGGCCTGGGTGTCGATGCACCAATGGCAGAGGGACCATGAGGAGGCTCAGATGGGAGATGTCTCAGAGGTGGGGATGGAAAAGAGAGGAGGCATGAGAGAAGGCCCAGAGGGGAGGCCCGGCAGGCCTGGGTGTACTGGGACAGGAAGGTGAGGAGGACTGGGGGCTGCCAGGGCTCATACCATGATGGCAGTTACACCAGGAGATACCCCACCCCGGGCCCCCCAAATCAGCTTCTCTCCTGCTCACCATCAGCTGAGTCAGGCCGGAAGGTGATCTTGATCTCAAACTTCCTGTAGGCATCCTTGATGGTGGGCAGCGGCAGGAAGGAGTGGGGGGTCTGTGTGAAGTAGGGCACCACCCGCTCTGTGGGCAGAGCACAGTTAGAGACGATGCCCACCAGGCAGTGGGCAGGGCACTGCTGTCCCCGGGGGGTACTGTCTTACCTGGTACCTGCAGATTGGCAAAGGCTTTGACCTTGCCCTGGCGGTTAGTAGCAGTGCAGACGTAGGTGCCTGCATCCTGGGGTTGAACTGAGGGCAGCAGCAGCATGTTGTTCTCCACACGGCTATTGGGTGGCAGGTTACCATCCAGCTGCAAACACACCCACACTTTGGACCCTGGCCTTAGCCTGCACCTCCATAGGGTCTGTCTCCCATGTCTTCCTCAGGCCCACCCTCAAATCCTGAGTACTCTGTGCCAAGTCTGGGCCAGGTCCTGGGGCCACTCAGGCATGTCCACTGGTCCCCTGCCAGGCATTTTACCTTGCTCCAACTGATATCAGGAGTAGGGTAGCCAGAGGCCATGCAGGGGAAGGTGGCTGCAGAACCAGCAGGCACACGGACCTCTGGGGGCGTTGAGATCTGAGGCAAGGCTAAGAGGGAGGAAGGAGACAAAGACCATCAGTCTGATGACAGCAACCATTTGTGAGCCCAGCCGCCCAGCCTATGCCCTGACTTGTTCAGTCCTGGCTGCACAGGTGGAAGCGGACAGAGCCAGGTCCATTTGACTCCACAGCCCAAGACTCTTTAACGCACCTGCTAAGAAAATGGTGCAGCCCTTTGGGGACCTGAGAAGAGGTAGGTACTAGGGAAGTGTGGGTCAGGAAGTTAGGGGACAGAGCATACAGTTCGGGGTGAAAAGGAAATGACTTTGAAAAAAGCACAGCTTTGTGCCTGCCCTGCATCCACGGCCCTTGTTTTATTCTCCGTTGTGTCTGTTTGGTGTTTACATGTCTCCACCCTCAGATTGGGCTGTAGGTCTCCCTCACTAGAGCAGGTGCTCCAGTAGGTAAGGACTGCATATCCGTTTTCGTCTTGATGCCCCTT